GAATTCCAACACTTAATGAGTATTTCTATCACAAATTTTACTAAAACAATTCTATGAAATCAAGGTTAAAATAAAATCAAGTGAGGAAAGTAAAAAAAAAAATACCCTAAGCGTCAATGTGACCTATTGACATTAATTAAAGCCATTTGCACCAAAATCCTCCACAATGTGTCCCAATTAAACAAAATTCTTCATTTTTGTTGATTGCACCTACAAATAAGGCAATTGTGATTTTAAGAGTATTTTTGTGAAAAAATGCCAAAGAATAAGCTAAAATATAAGTCGAATCCCCTAAATTTAAGCTTTTGCTTGTCCTCAAGTAAAAGAAGATTGAGCAAGAATTGTCATAATGTATAGATCTATGAACCTATCATTGGACATGGATGAAAGGGAGTTGCCACCAATCTTTTTTGGTTAGGTGTGATTGGCCACCTTAAACATATTTTGATCTACAAAAATAGATGTTAGGTTCGGGAGTCGATTACGCATAGGAAAGGTTGTAGCACCCCCACAACGCCCATCCAAAGAATGGTACCTATTTGATTTCAAATAATCCAAGCCTTGATCATTTTTATAATTTACAAAATTTTTAATATTAAAAATTAACCCTAAAATTGTCCCAATAGTTTGGTAGCAATTTAGGATAATTCTCTCACCTCAAGAGTATTCATAAAAACTAGTGTTCTTACTTTGAAGAGGCTCTGTCGTTGGATTTATTAACTTTTATTCTAGAAAAATTAGTGAAGCCTCCTAATAGTTTGGTAGGGCCTACTTCAAAGTAATCCTCTAATAGTTTAGAGGATAAAAATTATTTTTGTTTATTTGAAAAATTTTTTTTATTTATTATTTTTCATTAATAGGATTTTCATCATTTTTTTCATTTTTCATTTTTTTACAAAATTATTTTTTTAAAAATTATTTTTTCTTTTTTTTTTGTTAATAGAAGTGGTAGAAATAACTTTTTTCTCATTTTTTTTTGTTTTTTTAAATTAAACCAAAAAATAATAAAAATAGGTTAAAAATAAAATCAAATAAAATAAAAATAAAAAAATAAAAAAATAAAAAAAATGAAAAAATAAAAACTTGTGATCGGGTCGGATTAGAGCGCGGGTCTGCACAAGTGTCACTAAGTCTACATATGGATCCTAGCTTATTCAAAATGACGTCGTTCGGCTATAGTATAAAAGTCAAGTTTCAAAGTTTTCCTTCAAAAGCCTTATTCCCTTTTTCTCTAGTCAATTTTTCCTCTGCCTTCTCTTTAGAAAATCCATTAGCAAATTCAACTGAAAATTGGGAATCTCATTAGTTTCTGAGACTGTTGTTGAAAAATTCATCCAAAAATTGAAAAACCCATTGATTTTTTGGAAAACGTGCTGAATTTTGGAAATCTTATCGGAATCTCATTGAAAACTTCAACCTTCGTCGAAAAATTCAAAGTTCTTCAAAAAACCTAGAAAAACCTAGAAATATTAAAAAAAATCAAGAAAATCCAAAAAAATTCCTAGATAGCTCTAAACCTACTTTAAACCTTTTGTAACCTTAAATTCACCTCTAGAAGCCTAGAAGTACACCTAGAACTATGAATTAAATTATGAATCCTAGAATTAACCTCTCAAAACCTTTTCTACTCAAAATTTTTTAGAATTTTTCCAATAATTTCCTTTCAATTTTTTTGTGTTTTTGTGTGTTATTTTCTATAGGATCAGTCCAATTTATAGGTAGTCCTAGGATCAACTTAAGGAAACGGACAGAATCAATCCCAAGCTTGACTTTTAGGATTGCATTCTGTCTATCGTGATTTTTGATCCCAAAATTTTAGCAATTCGATTCATCTTTAAGCCTTTGACAAAGGTTAGATTCTGATTCCCTGTTTTCCCGTCCATATGCAAATTTGAACAAAAAGTAAAGAAGAAAAGAAAAAACACTGGAAAAAATGAGAAAAAAGTATAAATATATAATAATATAATATAATATAATAATAAGTAATAATATTAATAATAATATATTATAATAACAAATTATGAAAGGGACTAACCCAATTAAACTAGGACACAAATGGGCCCCAATTGGACCTGGACACAAATGGGTATCTATGGTTGTCCCTCTTTGCACATCTTTGTCAGATAGAGATGTTGTAAAGATCTAGACACCCACTCTGTTTGGGTCGAATCAAGAATGATCTGTAAATTTGAAAAATGACCTGGACTGAACCAAGATCGAGTGATTGGGATGAAACCATGAGTTAAAATAAAAGCGACTAGGACCGAGTCGAGGTCGAAAATAAATGATCGGGATGAAACCATAAATCATGTGATCGAGACGAAACTACGAGTCAAAATAAAGTGAGTAGGACCTAGTCGAAGTCGAAAATAAATGATCGAGATGAAACCATGAATCATGTGATCGAGACAAAACTATGAGTCAAAATAAAATGATCAGGATCGAGTCGAGGTCGAAAATAAATGATCGGGATGAAACCATAGATCATGTGACCGAGATGAAACCACAAGTCAAAATAAAAATGACTAGGACCGTGTCAAGGTCAAAAATAAATGATCAGGATGAAACCATGAATCATGTAATCGAGATAAAATCACGAGTCAAAATAAGGCGACTAAGACTGAGTCAAGGTGGAAAATAAATGATCAGGATGAAATCACGAATCATACGACCAGGATGAAACAATGAGTCAAAATAAAACAACCAGGATTGAGTCAAGGTAAAAAAAATGATCGGGATGAGACCACAAATCATGTGATTGGGACGAAACCACAAAATAAGGCGACCAGGATCGAGTCGAGATCAAAAATAAATAATTGAGATGAAACCATGAATCATGTGACTGAGATGAAACCATGAGTCAAAATAAGGTGACCATGATCGAGTCAAGGTTGAAAATAAATGATCGAGACAAAACCATGAATCATGTGATCGGGACGAAACCACGAGTCAAAATAAGGTGACCAAGACTGAGTCAAGGTCAAAAATAAATGATCGAGATGAAACCACGAATCACGTGACCGAGATGAAACCACGAGTCAAAATAAGGAGACCAAGACTAAGTCAAGGTCAAAAATAAATGATCAAGATGAAACCATGAATAATGTGACCGGGATAAAATCACAAGTCAAAATAAAGTGATCAGGACCGTGTTGAGGTCGAAAATAAATAATCAGGATGAAATCACTAATCATGTGATTGGGATAAAATTACGAGTCAAAATAAGGTGACTAAGACCAAGTCAAGGTCGAAAATAAATTATCGGGACGAAACCATGAATCATGTGATTGGGATAAAACTATGAGTCAAAATAAAGTGACTAGGATCGAGTTGAGATCGAAAATAAATGATCAGGACTAAATCACGAATCATAAGAAATGATCTGTACTGTGCCAAGATCAAGTGAATGAATAATGTAAGTGCATGTCCTATCTAGAATGCGAATGAAACATCAATTATGGTACTAAGGCTTCTGCATTCTTATTTTCACACCTCTTTAGTAAAGAAACCATCTTTCATTACCTTGAATATTTATCTTCACTGCACATTTTAGCTAAGAAACCATCCTAAATGCACATCTTTGGCAAATAAATCATCTTTCATCAACCTAAATGCACATATTTGGCATCAGCCTAAATAGTTATCTTTTTCCCCAAGAGCGTTATAGAAGCCATTTTGTTCTCTTATTTTGGAAGAGTTCATCTTCGATCTTTGTCTCCTTTAATTCTTCAAAGTAACACACAATTTCTTATGACTTTGTTCAATTATTAAATCATTATCTTAACTTTAAAGTGTGGGATGCAAGTTATGCACTTCTTTCATTCATGGCAAGGTATAAAGAGACATGATAAATGTATTAGCATTATATAAGACGAAGAAAGAACAAGGAGATGGCTTTCATTTATTTGGATAAGCAATAAATTACAAATAATGGTATAAGAAAATGTATAGAAGCAACTATTCGAGGTAGTAATGCCCCAGACAAATAATCAGATAACCATGATAATAAATCTAGGATCTCCTTCAAAAACTCAATCAAGATATGATACCCCAACATTTTAAAGCTTTTTAAAATTTGTTGTCCCTGGTATGCCTTCTAAGTGACACCATACTTTATTCAATTTAAGTTGCTTTTCAAGGTTTCAACCTGAATGTCTTCATTTGGATTCAAGTCACCCTTTCGGGTTTTCAACTTAAACCCTCTATTTTTTTTTGACTTCAAGCCACTCTCTCGGGTTTTCAACTTAAACTTTCTTTTTTTTTTTTTTAAGATATCAAGCAAAGTACTTCTTTATTGCATTAGAATTAACAAGACCAAAAAGTTCATCTCCATTGACAAGATTAAGGCCTCTCCCGAAAAAGCTTTTTTTTATCATATATGGTCTTTCCCAATTCGGGGTCCATTTTTCTCTATCACATGCTAACTTGGAATAATTCTCTTCAACACCAACTCTCCTTCTCGAAACTAATGAGGATTGACCTTTCTGTCATGAGCTCTTATCATTCTCTTTTGGTATAATTGGTCATTGCAAAGTGCCATCAATCTCTTTTCCTTAATAAAGTTCAATTGCTCATAGTGCTCTTGAATCCATTCAACTTTTTCTAATCCCATTTCCTTTAAAACTCTTAGGGATGGGATCTCTACTTCTATTGGCAATATAGCTTCCATCTTATATACTAGGGAAAAAAGAGTTACCCTAGTAAATGTGTGTATAGAAGTTTCATACCCATGTAAAGCAAAAGGTAATTTTTCGTGCCAGTCCTTATATGTTTCAATCATTTTCTCTAGAACCCTTTTGATGTTATTGTTTGCAGCTTCTACTATCCCATTCATTTTTGGGCCTTATGGAGCTAAATTATGTTGTTTGATTTTGAACTAAGCACATACTTCTTTAAGCACATACTTCTTACATCATCTTACTATTTAAATTCTTTGCATTATCCAAGATGATCCTTTCTAAAAGCCCATATTTATAAATTATTTCTCTTTTGATGAATTTTTAGACTACTGATCTTGTCACAGTTATGAAAGAAGTGGCTTTGACCCATTTAGTGAAGTAATCAATCATCACAAAAATGAATCTATTCCCATTTGAGGCCTTTGGTGTGATAGGACCAATGACATCCATCTCCTACATAAAAAATGGAAAAGGTGATGCTATAACTTCTAAAACACTGGGTGAAGCATGAATCTTATCAACATAAATCTGGCATTTATGGTATTTTTTAGCATAATCGATGCAATCTTTTTCCATTATTAACCAATAATATCTAACCCGTATGACCTGTCTTGCCATTATGTGCCAATTTGCATGTGCATCACATGCGTCATTATGAACTTCCTCAATAATCTTTTTGGCCTCAAAAGTGCCTGTATAGTGTAATAACACTTGGTCTTTACGTCGTTTGTACATAATTTCTCCATCCAAAAAAAATCCCATAGCCAATCTTCGTAAGACTCTCTTGTCACTTTCTATTACTTGATCTAGATACTACTAATTCCTTAGTTATTGCATGATATCATAATACCAGGGGTGGCCATCATTCTCATCTTCCAAGTTGGCATAATGTACTGGCATGTCTTTGATATCTAATTTGATAGGCTAAATCTCTATAATATCATCAATTTTATACCATTGCGACCAAGGTAGCCAAGGCATCTACAATTTAATTTTCTTTTTGAGGTAAGTATTCAAATTGAATTACTTTAAACTATTTACATAGCTCTAGGATGTTTTTGTGATAAGGGATGAGTTTGGAATCCCTATTTCATATTCACCTTTTAGTTGATAAATAACTAGAGCTGAATCCCTAAACACCCTTAATGTTTTAACTTTTTTGTGCAATGTAGCATGCAACCCCATAACACAAGCATTATATTTGGCTACATTATTGGTGTAGTTAAAATTCAATCTTGCTATAACAGGATAGTAGTGCTCTCTTGGAGATATTAAGACTGCTCCGATCCCATATCCTATGGCATTGGTAGCCCTATCGAAATACATCCTCCATATCTCTTCCTCATCATTATCTTTCTCTAACTCTAAGATAGTCATTAGTTCTTTATCTGAAAAATCAAGCTTCATGGGCTCATAATCATTAGTGGCTCTGTCAGCCAAGAATTTAAAAAGGACATTTCCCTTGATTGCTTTTTGGCTTACATATACTATGTCATATTCAGAAAGCATCACCAGCCATCTTGTAATTCTTCTTGATAGTGATGGTTTCTTGAAGATGTATTTAATAAGATCCAATTTAGCTATGAGCCAAGTTGTGTAGTAGACCATGTATTACCTGAGTCTTTTAGCAATTCAAGTCAAAGCACAACACATTTTCTCTAGTGATGAATACTTGGGCTCATACTTTGTGAATTTCTTGCTCAGGTAATAAATAGCTCTTTGTTTTTTTACTGAAATCATTTTGTTGGCCTAGCACACAGCCCATTGATCCCTTATATACCACTATGTATAGAATCAATAGTTTTTTTGAAACAAAAGATGCTAATATCAGAGGATTTGATAAGTACTGCTTGATCTTATTGAAGGCTTATTAACATTGTTCATTCCACTCCTCAGGATTGTTCTTTCGAAAAAATTTGAAAATGGGGTCGCATTTGAAAGTAAGTTAAAAAATGAACAGAGAAATATAGTTCAATCGGCTTAAAAAGCCTCGAACCTCCTTTTGTGTGCTTAAAGGGGATAGATTCTAAATGGCCTGAATTTTGTCTAGGTCAATTTCTATTCCTCTTTCACTAACTATAAATCCCAACAACTTCTTTGACCTGGCCCCAAATATATACTTAGTCAAATTCAGTTTGAGTTAAAACTTTCTTAACCTCTTAAATAATTTCCTGAGATTGACCACATGATCCTTCTTTTTTTTAAGTTTAGTGATAATGCCATCCACATGCACTTCAATCTTCTTATGCATCATATCATGAAAAAGGGTCAGCATAGCTCTTTGATAAGTTACCCTGACATTTTTCAATCTAAAGGGCATAACTTTCTAGTAGAAAGTTTCCCACATAATGATAAATGTGGTTTTCTCCATATTGTCTTGGGCCATCTTTATCTAATTATAGCTGAAGAATCCATCCATAAAAGAGAACACTAAATATCAGGTTGTATTATCCATCAATGTATCTATATGAGGCAAAGGGAAGTTATCCTTTAGGCTAGCTCTGTTCAAATCTTGATAGCTACACACATTCATACCTTTCTATCCTTTTTGGGAACAGGTACTATATTAGTTACCCATTCAGGATGTTTAGCCACTTGCAAAAAGCTTGTATCAAATTGCTTTTTAACTTCCTCTTTGATTTTCAACAGCATCTCTAGTTTTATTTTTCTTAGTTTTTGCTACACTAGTTTATTTTTTGGCTTTAATGGTTACTTATGCTCTACTATTTTAGTGCTGAGTCCAGGTATATCTTGGTAAAACTAGGCAAATACATACACAAACTCTCGAAGTAAATCCTCTAACTACTGTCGGTCAACCACTGAGAGTGAAGTGCCAATCTTGACTTCTTTCTTATTTTAGCATCATCTAAATTGATCAATTCTACCACCTCTTAATAAAGCTCAATGAATTTATCTTCCCATTCAATTAGCCTCTTTAAATTTAGAGACAAAGTGTATTTTTTAGAATTTTCTTTAGTATCAAGTTCATTAGTATTAATTGAATTTTCAAAGTTAAACCATGGATTATTGTCATGATTATTTTCACATTCATTTGAGAACCTGAAAATTAATAAAATAAAAAATATTAGCAAAAAATTTTGATGGGGTGATGAATGGAATGAAAGAGATGAACAAAATGCATGCTCCTATTTTTATTGACATAATGAAAATAAAAGGCCCAAACATAAGAGTTCATCCCAATGCTTTTGGGCATAAGCAAATAGGATAGGTGATTACATTGAAGAAAGTTTGGCAACAATAGGCATTCTGACTTTTCAATTTTGCAATTCATATCTCGACAAGCAGGGGTAAACCAAAGTTTCCTCATCTTGACTTTCATCACCCATCATGTTAATGGACAACTTGGCAAAAGCTTCCTCCCATTTTAGTTTTTCTTTTATGTTCTCTTCAACTTCTTGGTGCATGTATCCTCAAGGAATGAAAGTTTCATTCAAAAAGGTAAAGATCATTGATTCTTTTTTTGCCCTTCTGTTATTGTTTTGCCATTCCTCAATCTCATAACATAATCTAGATCTTTAGCTGTAATCCTTAATCTTAGGAATCTCTCTTATCCCTTAAAAGTTTTTGCCTAGGTCGAACCCTTTACTCCAACCCTTGTTAACCATCTAATTAATCATAATCTGACTAAATTTAAATCCTTCACCCATTACATTAATAGGTTTAAAAGATCGATAGCAGCACTCCAATGATTCTTCTATCATTTCCACATATGGGGCATTTATGGGTTAGGTTACCAACAAATCTTTTTCCCTAACCACAATCACCAATTGTCATTCTACATTGAATTTGATTTTTTAATGCAATGAAGAAGGGACAGTGCCCACCTTGTAAATCTATGGTCTTCCCAATAAACAGCTATATGATAGATAGATATCCATGACTTGGAACTTTATGTTGAAGACACACGACCCAATTTGTACAAGTAAATCAACATCCCTCAAGACCTCTCATCTAGTCTCATCAAAAGCTTAAACCATCATCTAACTATTTTAGATATAGGACATATCAAAAGGTAGCTTGGCTAGAGTAGACATAAGTGATCCATTATCAATAAGGACCTTAGCTACTATATGGCTTTTACATTTGACAGTGATGTGTAAGGCCTTGGTGCTCCTTCTACTTTCAAGCAAAATCTCATCATCGTTAAAAGAGATATAATGTGGCACCATTATATTTTCTACCAAATTATTCACATTCTCTACAAATACATTATGGGCTACATAAGCCTGATTCAATACCTTTAATAGAGCATTGTGATGTGGTTCAAAATTTAAAAAAGTGATAGTAAAGAAATTCTAGTGGGCATCTTATTTAGTTACTCCACCACAGAATATTCACTATGTTTAACTAGCTTCAAAAACTCACAGGCCTCATTTTTAGGCACAAACTTTAAGGCATCTTTCTTTGAAGTCTCCAGTTCAATCTATTTCTCTTTTTTTTTTCAAGGTTACTAGAATATAACATCTTCCACTTCTAATTATACCTTTTACTCCTATTATATTAGCAGTTTCAGCTTTTAGCCTTTATTGCCCTTAAGGCATCACCGCACATTCATATTTTCAAGGCACCACTTTATTATCTTTATAAGGAAATAGGCGTGAAACTTTGAGAGTTACTGGTTTGGGAACAAACTTATGCCAACTGATTGTGACTTTTTCTTACAACGTATAGTGATAGGTTTTAGCACCCATTTGTCTATCATAGCCACCCCAATGTCTTCTGAGGCTCTTGACTCTTCATATAACTCTATTTGGTAAGAGTCTATCAACTTTTGAACTTCACCATAGAATTTCTTGTAGACATCGATTGAATGTTTTGATGCCCTGCCATGATACTTACATTTTTTATTTGAGCTATATTTTTCCACATAAATGTATGAAACTATTGGTTGTATCATCTCAGCTTTACATAAGACTTCATACAACTGGTTGAATGGTATCTTAAGTTCTTTTACTCTCTTTTTCACATGTTTTTCACCCACATCCAAAGTATTGACTTTGTGACTGGGCAAGAGATTCCTACTGACATTGGGTGTTGAATTCCTACTAGTGTCAAAGCTTATCAACCATTCCTTAATTAAACTTTGCACCCTATGCTTGAAAGGCAAACAATTCTTAGTAGAGTATCTTGCTACTCCAAAATGATAGTCATAGTGAGCATTAGAATCATACCATTTGAGGTAGAAGAGTTCAAGTTGCTTAGTAGGAATAGGGGTAATTAAATGGTTTTTATAGAGCTCTTGATATAACTTTGTGTAGCTTATGAGTATAGGATCAAAAGTGGGTCTTTCCCTTATTCGTGATTCTCTGGCATTACTGGTGGTGTTGACTGGGTATGTAGAGGATCTTGGTGAAGATGGAGAAGAGGGTCGGGTGTTTGATTGGTAAGAAAATACAGAAGTATGGCTCATAATGTGATGGTATGTAGGGTAGGTAGGTCGAGGGTAATTTTTGAATTGCTATCTTTCAAGACTCACAACTTGAGTCTTACTTTCCTTATTTTTAGGTGCTCTTTTGAAAGACTCACATTTTTCAAGCTTACCATTTTTTATGGCATTTTCAATGATCTCTCTCAAAATTACCATATCAGCAAAGTTTTTAGTCGCATTTCTAATCATCCTCTCATAATAAGACAAATTTAGAGTGTTCACAAATAACACAATAATTGTTTTTTTCATTAAGGGAGGTTGTACTTGGGTAGCTACATCTTACCATCTTTGAGCGTTATTGCTTGAAGGATTTAGATGCCTTTTTTTTCCATTGCTTGTAGGGAAAAATGGTCAGAAGCCATGTCAATGATATGAGGGCACTAATTAACAAAAGATCAAGTTAAATCTTTCCATGTTTTTATGTAGATCATATCTAACTGAACTTACCACCTCGTTACTGACCTAGTTAAGCTATCTTGAAATACATGTATAAGTAGCTTTTTATTACTAGCATGTGTCGCCATTTTGCAATAGTACATGATGATATGTGTGATAGGACATTTAGTACCATCATACTTTTCAAACTCTGGTATTATAAACTCTGGTGGCATTACTACGTTTGGTACTAGGCAAAGTCCCACTGCATCCATGGATCCATAGAAATCCATTCCCTTTACAACTCTCAATCTTTCTTCAAGCATGCTTATGGCTTGATCAGTTTTAAAACTTTCTAAGGGCACAGCTGTCTATGGCTGGTCTTTTTCTTTTACTTCATTTGCAATAGGGAGTTGAATGGGCTCAGCTATTTTTTTGGCAAAAATAGGATTATCATAACTTTGGACATTCTCATGATCTGGTGTATAGGTCATTCCTGGATAATTATACTTTGGAAAAGCTATCTGTTGAGGTTGGAATATTAGGGTAATTTGAGTTTGTTACAAACCAAAGCCAGGAGGATATACTGATTCAGTGTCTTCCTATGGAGTGTCTTCTTCCACTGATTTTCCTCTATTCACCTTTTCTAAGGCGTCCAGAATCTTGCTCAATTTTCCCTCTAGTGAGCTTTTTCTATCCTTTTAAGGTGACTTGTATTGTCCTATTCTATCTTTCTAGCTCGAGCCTGAGTATTGTATTGATGTGTAGCTATTCTTGCACCTTA